AGAAATGAAATAACCAAAAAAATTGCAAATAAAATTTGAAGTGTCAAATAATTGAAAAATCCTGAAGCTGAAGTTTCAAGAAATTGAGAAATCAAAAATCGTAAATTCGAAAAATTAAAACATCTTAAAATCTCCATGTTTAGGATAAGAATAGAAATTTTTGCCGGACGGCAGGAGCTTTATAGAGAGGCTACCAATAAGAAGCCAAGAGGTAGAATTATATTTTTTGAAAACATTATTCGGTGCGACGAAGATTCGTTCACAAATAAAAGACATCTAAAAAGTTGCATTTATTCAAACCGAGAGTTAAATGGAGACACAAAGAATACAAATATGCATTTTGCATATTATCCGAGTCTTAATCATGAGTGTTCTAATATGTTCGTAATTATAGCAGCAGAATTAATAAAAATATCGACGCAGTTATTGTACCAACTGATAACATCAAAGGCCAAAACCGACCCGAAACATCTTTATTATTGTAATCAGTTGCCACAAATCTAAAGTAATTAAAAATTAAAGGTCGTCAGCGTTGATTAAATCGCGACTATTCTTGTTATAGAGCACACAGCATAAATAAAAACGTTTTTTGCATACGTTCCAAATGTCTTATAAGTGTAAAATCATGTACTCTATTTTAAAAAAACTGAACCAGTTTATTAGATCCTTTAAATGAGATTAAAGTCTGACGTTTGATTAGCGTAGTACTCATAACATATTAGTAAAAGCCAGTTTGTATAAAAGTTTAATTTCGATTAAGTTAATCACACATTTAACGAGACATTTAGCGACGTCTGATTGGCGTAGAGTCCGTCACGTGGTACTTTAACACAGTGTTAAAAATCGCAATCGCAATTAAATATTTTTAATTGAGCTTGTACAGGGTTTTCATAAATGATTATAGGGTCGCAGTAGGTTATGGATGTGTGCCGCCTTTCGCTTTATGTGTACTTTACTAAATGTGTCCTTGGGCACGACAAGCACCACATGCATCTGTATAACTGGTTGCCTAAATGCTTCATGATTAAATATCGAAAACGCATGCGTCAATACACATGTGACTGACATAACAAGGCGATACTGGCGATAACAAGTGAAATTTTTGGTTGGCTGTTGATATACACACGCACAAATTCCAATAACTAAATCATCCACGGAAAAAGAAGTTCCACGTTTAGGAGTATATTTGTAATGAAGTGCAGGAGGCGAAGCGCCCGTGTGTCCTTTCAAAAAGTTAGCACGCGTTGGTGCCCATAAAAAGTTAGGTTATGTTAGCAACGGCTGCAATGCTGCAATTAAAGAATGCACGAATACGAAATTTAACAAATTTTTGTGGCAAAAGGAAGCATTTGCATAACATTTGAAGATGAGGAACGTGATCAAAAGATGCTGTAGAAGAGCTTTGCACAAACAGTTTGTGCGAAATCGAGAAGCGCGTGTTCTGCGCGATGTTACGGAGTTAGATAAGCGCAAATGTAGTTCATTTTCAAACTGTTTTTCAGAAGTTGAAGGCGCATTGATGACCAGTGGGACCAAGGGCCTTTGGTGGTTAAATATGCCTTTATATACATGGACACCAGATGCATGTGCTTAGAAAGATGATTTTTGATTAAGAACTCAGAGCAAGAGTATCTTTAATGGTGTATACAAATTTGACAAACAACGCATTTTAATGTCTGATAACTACATTTCCTATCCATCAGTTCTACTTCATGAAAGTTAGTTTTGGTTTGTGAGTGCATTAAATGTTTTACAGCAGATTCTTTAGGTACATTATCAAAACTTATCTGGGTGGCAAGTTTATGGGACTTACTGACCAAAAGGTCATGGTGAATAGCTGTAAGTCATAAAGTAGATGAAATTCTTGACCAAGATGTATCCTTCAGTAGTTTCTTCAAAGTGTCTAAATATGTTTCCAGCCCTCTATTGGTTTACCACCAAAATATTTGTATTTCAAAGATCTGTGCAAAGATTTGGCGTGCATGTTGGTGTTAATGCCTGCGTTCTTTTGATAACACTGGGCCCATGACTTCATGCGCTCTTTATTTTGAAAGTAGTAAGTGTTTAAATAATTCACAAATTTACTTTTTACCAAAAATTTAATCAGCTCTTGCTTCAGTCTTATAAATTTATTTTCATCTGTTTCTTTTAATACATAATCTAATTTTGTAAGAATCTGATTTATTGTTCCAGGCAATCCAATATGTAGCTGTAACTATCATCTGTCATGAAATAATTGGGTACCAAAACCGATATTAATGATTTTATTTCACCAACCAGAACCTCTTATATGTTGGTGTCCTTTCAGTTGGACAGAATAAATGTTACTGGATAATCAATATTTTTATCATCTAACACATGGACTTGTGGTCAATTCAATGTCATAGAGGTTTGTCCCATGTGTGCCATCTACACAAATGATTTTGGCGCCATATTTTTTTAACATATACTCCAGCCCACTGTACATGGAAGCTAATGCAGTCATTTTTGTGGAATTTTTCATGTTCTGATGCACAAGATTTTCCTTACTTCATTTACCAGATATATTATTTTTTCTGCAATGTGGGGAATGTCTTTCATAGTCAGAAGATTAAATCTGGTATATGAACTGAGTTCTAGATTTTTAACAGTTTCAATTATTTTTTCGTGTGTTACACCAGTGCGAATTTGTTCAACTAGATATGTCGTTTCTTTTGTAGTCAGGGGTTAACAGCGAAGATCATTGTGATGAACAACATGAATAGCAATAAACTGAACAAGTACCACTGAGGAAGAATGATCAAAGTGAGCTGTAATTCGTGAAGGACAGACTCCTTGCATTTTGATACTGCCACTAATTTTAGGAGCTCGTATATTACATTTACTAACAGAATTTGCTAGATTATTTCTGACATTCATAGTAGAAAATAATAATTCGTCATATAAAAGAATTAGTTTTTAACTCTAAATCTGCTTTTCGTGTAAAAAAAATCTCCCGTTTTCTTAAATTGTAGATCCTTTACTTCCAACTCAATGTTATAAACGATGTTGAAATGATTCGTTAATAAGTGGAAACGCTGAAAGTTTTCAAAGCATAGCGGACAAATTATTCTGCTAGTTTTTAATATTTTTGAAATTGTCGCCATGAAAATATCTTAGATGTCGATTTGTACTTGAAATTATTTCACACAATAAGCACATTTTGTTAACACTTCAAACTTTTGGATGCTCATACTGAAATATGTTTTGTCATGTCTAGTGCTTGTTTTTACTTAATAAACTAATCGAACTTTATCTGTCCATTGTCCTTTTCATAAAAATTACACGAAATTCTTTAATTAGCCACAAAACAATAGTATATTACAAAATTAATATTTCACTTCCCGCCACAAAAGTACATATTCAACGAAAATGTATAAACGTAAAAGATAAAAATCCAAATATAACTTTGACTGCTGGGTAGCTTCTAAACCCTCATCGTAGAGTCATATAAAATCAAGGACCACCAGATGGGTGAACGGACACGGATAATCAGAGTTTTTACGGTTTGAGATTTCATTCAGTTCTATCAAAAATTTTATTGTACATAATAAATAGGTATTTAGAACGTAGTGTGATTTTTTTTGTTGTTTTTTTTTTGTGTACAGATTCGTTTCAATGCAAAATTAGGTCACCCACATAGAATTTGAACATTTGAAATTACGCAGGCGTAATTTGTTACCCTCATGCGCGGAACTCCAACATTCTTGATAGTCAATTTGTTGTTAAAAATAAAAATAATTCATAATGGAATAAACAAACAAATTTATTGTGGTTAAACATCACAGTAAATGTTGAAAATGTTCACCATTTAGTTCAAGGCACATATTCACTCTCTTTTTCTTACTTTCAAAAATGTTCTGTAACATCCTTCCATCAATGCTTTGAACCCATCGTTCAATTTCATGTTGCAACTCTGCCAAGTTATTCATTTGCCGTTGAAACACTTTGTCTTTCAAATATCCAAATATTGAAAAGTCCAATGGCGTAAGATCTGGGGAACGTGGTGGAAATGCATGCTGCACTCCTAAACTTATTACACGATCGTCATAATGTTGTTGTAAATATTCCAATGTAGCACGTGCAGTGTGTGCAGTCGCGCCGTCCTGTTGAAAGTACCCTAACTGCAGCTCTTCGTCATCAAGTTGTTGAATAAATGGTTCCAAAATCTGTTGCCTATACCTCTCTCCAGTCATAGTATCATGAAAGAAAATAGGTCCATATATTCGTCTACGAGAAACTGCCAACCATACTCCAATTTTTAAAGGATGAAGAGGCGTCTCTACAAAAACATGTGGATTTTCCGCGGACCAAATTCTAAAATTTTGCGAATTGACATAGCCAGATAAATGAAACCATGCTTCATCACTAAAAAATGTAAGGTCCAGTAACCCGTCATCATGAAAAGTATTCTGAAACCAATTGCAATATTCTACGCGGCGTGGAGGATCTATTGGTAAAAGTTGTTGCACAGTAGTTATTTTGTAAGGATGCATATGCAATCGTTTTTTCACTACTTTGTGACATGTGGTTACGGGAACTCCTGACTGTTGAGATAATCTTGTCAAAGATCTTTGGGGATTCTGCTCGAGTCTTTCTCTCAAATCATCAACAACTTCCTCAGATACTGCAGGTCTCCCAGAAGATTTCCCTTTGTTGACATTGCCAGTGCGAACAAATCTGTTGATGACATCTCTAATGTGAGCCTCTAATGATGTTTCTTGAATTTCCAAATCAGGGTAATTGGCCAGATATTCTTGCTTACAAGCGGCTACAGAATACAGCCACGCTCCGTCTACGAATGTCCCATTGCGATAATAAGACATAACGATGAAAGTGTTTTGCTCAACCGAATAAACCATTTTCACGGTCTTCGCTTCGAGCACAAAGTTTTCGCACGCAAGCACCAAGAGCCTTGAGAAAGGCTATTTTGTTGTTTTAAACTTGGATCAACGAGAATTACTGTAAATCACACTTGGAAAGTGGTAGAACAATAAAGGCGATGATTTTAAGTGACAGGTTACAAATGACAAGCACAATGACAAGTGAGAACTGTCAAATGAGACAATTTCAGCAAAGCGGCATTTTTGAAATCCATGGCCAACTACGCCCTTAGAATCATTTATGAAAGCCCTGTATAAACCGGCTCTTGGTGAAAAACAATTTACGCGTTTATATCAAAAAGACACCAAGAATCGCTGAAGATGGCAGCAAGCACCAAAGACGAAGAAGTACGTAGCCACAAAAGTGAACTTAATAAATTATTTATTGCAGATATTATCACGACCTTTGGGACACACTCTACAAGTGGGCCCAGAAAATCGTAACATTTTTAAACAATCCATTTTTTCTTGTAATGTTTGGGTTAAGTGCCCCCAAGACGCACTCAAAGTCTTTAACGATATTGGAAGTAGCTTATACGATGTGCTTATTGTGTAATTTTACGTTGTACTCATAGCTTAATTACTTTAATTGATGAAGTTTTCCCAGACTTGATGATATTCTGGACGGAACGATACTTCGTAGAGGACTTCCTTCAGCCCATATGGTTTATGGAATTTCACTAACCGTACATGCTACAGTCCATAAGATGTTTCTAATAATGCAAAATGTACTCTGTTATGCAGAAAACAGGAAGGTAATGTTTTTATGCTGCCTGTGTTTTTAACGTATTGGTCTAGGACATCGCTCTTGATGACTTTGTTACGTTGGGTATTCGATTTTTCACTGGGCAAGGACTAGAAATCCACTATAGAGACTCTCAAAGGTGTCCTAGTTTCTGCGATTTCAAAGTCCTAGTTCGTGCCAGTAAGTTAAATTATTTATTAATTTTTGTAAAAAAAAAACAAGCTCCTGTTTTAGAATGTACCAGTTCCTTCAAATGGGGAGTCCAGTGGTTGAAACTGTGTGCCAAGAACGATACAATCGAACTGAGTGTGGATCTTTGCGACAAAATAGGTGAATTTCTTCAGATATACGACGACTATATAAATTTGCACAGTACTAAGGTAACGAACCAAATTAAGAGTTTTTATTGTTTTTATGTAATTTTTTAGTACGCAACCGTTCGGATTCTGTGTGACGATCTTGATGAGGGAAAATTCAACTTTCCTATGATTCATGCTATTCAAAGTCATCCGAACGATCATCGTCTCTTGGGTAAATTAGTTCATGTCGTTTTATTTGCTTAATTATCATTATTTTTAGATCTGCTAAAACAAAGACCACTAGATGTGGAAAGTAAGAAACTGTTTGTAGACATAATGGAAAGTTTTGGAAGTTTCGAGCAGACGCGGAAGGCAATGGAAGAGTTGAGATGTGGAATTCTCGCCGACATAGACAAAATCAATCTGGGGAAAAATCTGTGTATGGAACGAGTTCTTCAAAATGCATTGGATAATTTAGAAACGGAAATTTATTATGATGGTTGCGACTAAAATGTGTTTTGCTAAGTCTGAACCTTGTTAATTAATAATAATAATTTTTACTTTTTTTCTATTTCTCACACCAAGGTTATCCATTATCGATCATGTTATATAATAATATACGCATAATTAATCTATAACCTGACCGGTTAAACTTTAGCCAGAACGTTACTAGTAAAAACTTAGTTGTGAAGATATAAACGAAAATGAAAGAGTTCCTAGTGCTTACATTTACAACGGTTTTGATACATCAGTGTTTTACTTTAACACTTCGTAATTACTCAGCAAAATGTGTTTTTGGTTTTTTGTAACTACGTTATATTGCAGCTTCCACTTTCACAAAGTGCGATAAAAGAAAAAGTGACTTTAATCAGTGCCTGTCGAGAGCGATTCAAGATGCTGTAAGTCAGTTAGACAAGCCGTTCGACGATTACGGTTTGCCCAGTCTGGAACCGCTGGTGTCGAAAGACTTACTCGTGGAATTTGGAAACGAAACCACTTGCATTCGCCAAAAATACAGCAACTTTAAAATTCACGGTTTCACGAAAATAAATACAACAAAAGCAGAGTAAGTATCGACCATTTAAACAAACAAATTTACAATAATGAACAATATTTCAGACTAGATTTTGAAAACCAAGTCTTGTGGCTTAATATGACCTTCTTCAAACTAGTTTTCGGGTATGAGCACCAAATACGCGGCAGATTTATTGTGTTGCCTATGGATGTGTCCACAGTGGCGAAAGCAACATTAAGTAAATAAGTTAGTAAATCGCAATTCTTTGAAAATTATTTTCAATTTTTAGCAAGTCCGACGTTCAAGATGAGATACAAATTTGAACCGTACTTGAGGCAGAACGAGAAGTATGACAAAGTCGTTGACAGTCGACTCATAATGGAAGCACAAAATATAACTTTCAATTATGGAAATTTGTTCGACAACAAGCGACTGAGCGAAGACATTGTTGCCCAGTTTAACGCAAATTGGGAAGACATTTTGCAGTTCTGGCAAGCAGCTTTTCTCCAGGTGTACGTTAACGTGTTTGAGAAAATATTTAACGACTTCTTGTACAGAGTCCCGGTTCATGAAATATTTGATGGGTTTTAGTTGGTAATAATTAGGTCCCAAAATTGACGAAATAGGTTATAAAAATCTTAGTTTAGGTTAAAAACCTGGAGGAAAAAATATTTGCTCAACGAAAAAACATACATCAAAAAAATATATATTAAAAAAAACATTAAACAAAACATTATAGAAACAAATATTTTGTGTAACAAACAAAAAAATGATTAAATAAACAAACGATCTATAGTTACGTCTACTAATTCTAAGTTATCGCAAAAAAATGGCGATCAAATTAAATTAAGTCGCGTTTAACAATAAAATAAAATATTAATTCAGGTATTTAAAATGAGTTACAAAAGCAAACTATATATTTCTCTAAATTTTCGATTATAAATTTACACCTTTGATCGCTTAAAACACATTTAAGTTTTGAAAACGTGCTTTCCACATCACAAGAAGTGGGTGCAAAATTAAATATTGAACAATCTACGTTTTCATTTATGTATGTTGTAACAGATATGTATTGTTGGTTGCATATCCTTCATGTGTTAAGATGTTTGTAAGAACAAGTCAGTGAAATAGAGACCTTCAGAGAAGACAGTTGTTTCCTTCCCGGCTCCCAAATACAAACACATGACATGGCGCTGCGAAATGGAGAAGAATCCTCGTAAATCACCGAAGTGACCAGTTTCACGAATCTTTGAACAACGTGCTAATAACAAATTACAAATTCGACATCAACATGGACAAAGGAATAAATTCAATGGACATGACCGGCAACCTCTCAGAAAATTGGAAGAGATGGAAGCAGAAATTTGAAAACTATTTAATTGCTAGCGAAACCAACAAAAAACCAGAACGAGTCCAATGTGCACAGCTATTACACTTTTTGGGAGAAGATGCTCTTTCTATCTACGACACATTTAAATTCAACGACGAAGAAAAGGACAAACTTCAAGTGCTCCTTCAGAAGTTCGACGATTATTTTATACCGAAACAAAACCTAACCTACGAACGTTATAAATTTCTAACTTTCAAACAAGGAAATCAAACCTTCGAACAATTCATCAAGGAACTCAAGACACGTGCGAAGCAGTGTAAATTCGATACATTAACCGACGACTTAATAAAAACAGTACTAATTTGTGGGATGAACGATAATATGTTACGTGAAAAGCTACTTCAAAACGAAGATAAACCTCTTCAGAAAGTGATAGACAGTTGTTTGCTATGGGAAAATACAAAAATTCAAAGTGAAGAACTTTCCTCGAGAACCATCCATGACGTCAGAAATCCCAAGGCCAACGTGCAGAATAAGTTCAGTACACGTGCACCGACAAACGTCGCTTCTGGAAAAAGTACATCATACTTGCCGGCGCTCAGAAACAAAGAACATGGACCGACTCGACAACAATTCCAGGAATGGGCCGGGACCGGATCGAATTCAGATAAGTTCATAAGAAACTGTCGCAACTGTGGGAAATCGCATTTAATAAATTCATGCCCTGCATTTAAGAAAATTTGTAACTCCTGTAAACGTCTTAATCATTTCTCGATAATGTGCCGTAGTAAAAATAAAAAGATTAATGAATTAATTTCTCAAAACACCGATGTTAATGACGAAAATGACACTTTTCATGTAAATCAATTACAAATTGACTCTGTTAATGACAATAAAAATAAATCTTGGTTTTTAGATGTAACCATTAATGAGGTAAGCTCGTCCTTCAAAATTGACACAGGGGCAGAAGCCAATATTATTCACATTGACAAATTTCGTCTACACCATTTAAATTCTTACTGCATTACAACCTGTCCAGAAGTTTTATTTGACTATAATAATAAACCAATCCAGGTGTTAGGTAAATGCATGTTAACAATTTCATATAAAAATAAACATGTAAAAGCCCAATTCTACGTCATCAAGGGCCAGCGCAATTCTCTCCTTGGCTTTACCACGTCTGTAGAATTAGGTTTAATTAATCCAATTAACACGATTATCAATTCAACTTCTAACGTTGTTAACCAGTTCTCACAAGTTTTCAGTGGTATTGGCCTTATCGGTAAACCTTACACAATTGAAATTGAACCAAATGCTATACCTGTAGTCCACCCAATCAGAAAAATACCTTTCGCTCTGGAAGAAAAATTCAAAAAATGTTTAGAAGATTTAACGAAGATGGGAATCATTGAACGAGTAGGAACAAGTACCGACTGGCTAAATTCCTTCGTGATCGTACGCAAACAAGATAATTCGTTAAGGATATGTCTGGATCCGAAAGACTTGAACAAGGTAATTAAGCGACATAAATACAAAATTCCAACCATTGATGAAATTACAGTCAAACTACAAGGAGCCAAATTTTTCACAACGTTAGACGCTGCCAGTGGGTTTTGGAACATCCCATTAGACGAGGCAAGTAGTAATTTATGCACCTTTGGCACACCATTTGGCCGATTTAAATTCAAACGCTTACCATTTGGCATTGTGACAGCCAGTGAAGTATTTCAAGAACGATTTAAAGAAATATTCAATCTAGAAGGAGTAGAGATATATGTTGACGATATTTTGATTCATGGTAGGACTAAGGATGAACACGATAAAAGACTTTTTCAAGTTCTAAAAATCGCACTAGAAAATAACATCAAATTCAATTTCAACAAATGCAAATTTGGAGTGAATAGGATCACTTATTTGGGTTATGAATTTTCGGAAAAAGGAATGCACATAGATGAAGAGAAATTGAAAGCAATCGCAGACATGCCACCTCCAACGACAAAGCAAGAATTACAAAGATTTTTGGGCATGGTGACGTATGTCGGAAGATTTATAAAAAATTTATCAGAACAAACTGCACCACTAAGGGAAATACTCAGAGATAAAAATTGTTTTGTCTGGAATCATGCACAAGAAGAAGCCTTTCGAAATCTTAAAGTCATGCTAATAAACAGACCCTGTCTACAATACTTTGATCCAAAGGAACCAATTGTGTTATCCGTTGACGCTTCGAAATCTGGTTTAGGTGCTGTACTTCTTCAAAAAGGACTCCCATGTTGTTATGCTTCCAAGGCAATGACTTCAACACAACAGAAATATGCACAAATTGAAAAAGAGATGCTCGCCATCTGCTTCGGAGTCGACAAATTCCATCAATACATTTATGGCCAACGAGTTACAGTCGAAACTGATCATAAGCCACTTGTACCCATCTTCAAAAAGAATTTAAATGATTGTCCGCAACGTTTACAGAGAATGATGCTGAAACTACAAAAATATGACCTAACGATCGTTTACAAACCCGGGAAAGAATTATTGGTTGCAGATACATTATCCCGTGTATATTTGAAGGAAGAATATGAAGACAATTTGGATCTGGAGATGCAAATTTGTTCGATCATGGAAAAAATCAAAATAACTGATAAGAGATTGGAAGAATTAAAAGAAAAAACAAAAAATGATGACACACTTCAACATCTAAAGAAATATATAGAAACAGGTTGGCCTATGAATAAACGACAAATACCGGATTCTGTCAAACCGTATTACAACTTCAGAAATGAGATAACACAAGGTCAGAATCTAATTTTTAAAGGAAATAAAATAATCATACCAACTTCAATGCGAAATACAATACTGAATAGCATTCACAGTGGACATTTTGGTATAAATAAATCCATTGAACGTGCTAGCACAGCAATCTACTGGCCCAACATGAATACAGAAATTGAGAAGATGATAAAAAAGTGCGAAACATGCCAAAAATACATGAATTCAAATTCTAAAGAACCACTCATACAACACGAAATTGTCGAAATACCATGGTACAAAGTAGGAATGGATATCTATGAATTATATGGGGAACACTATTTGATTTTGGTAGATTACTATTCGAAATATCTTGAAGTTATGAGTTTGAACAAAAATTTAACTTCTAAAAACATCATTGATAAATTAAAAAGTATATTCGCTCGACATGGGGTACCAAACATTGTGATTTGTGACTCAGGAACGCAACTAATTAGCCAAGAGATAATAAGTTTTACTCACAAATGGAATTTTGAGATCAAACCAAGCTCCCCGCACCATCAACAATGTAACGGCATGGCGGAAAGAACAATTGGCACCATCAAAAAACTATTGAAAAAGACCATCGACGACAAAGAAGACATCTACTTAGCTTTACTTGCTTATCGCAACACTCCTGTTTACAACTCGTACACACCATCTCAAATTTTAATGTCCAGGATTCTAAGAGATAATATGCCACGAACAAAAGAACAGTTAACCCCCCAACTCATTAACAAAGAAAGATATCATATAAAGCTAAAAGAAGCTCGAGACAAACAAAAATTTTACTATGACAGACACACAACAAACAGACCGGAATTCGAAATCAAAGAAAAAATTTACTATCAAGAAAAACCTGGCTCAATATGGAAACCTGGAGAGATAGTGAAAAAAGAAAAAGACAGATCATACACCATTAAGACAGCACGAGGCACCATTTTAAGAAGAAATAAAATACATTTGCGAAGAAGAGGAGAAGAAGTGGAGGTATATCAAAATGACACAGAGCAAGAAGAAAGAATTCCCAACGAAACTACAAACCAACGCGACCCTCCTATCTCAAATCCAACCTCTCCTGATCCCCCCAATGCAAAAACTCAAGATATTACTGGAAACTTGTACACCACTAGATATGGACGAATAATTACACAACCAATCAGGTTCGGCGACTATGTTTCCTAATTTAACCAATGTTTAATGTTGTTTTATGTATTCCACAATTTTCATTTACAATAGTTGTACATAGACATTTAAGTTCTTTGTTTGTAATGAGGGAGATGTAACAGATATGTATTGTTGGTTGCATATCCTTCATGTGTTAAGATGTTTGTAAGAACAAGTCAGTGAAATAGAGACCTTCAGAGAAGACAGTTGTTTCCTTCCCGGCTCCCAAATACAAACACATGACATATGTATTGTTGGTAGCATTTCCATTACCGCAAATTACGTTATTTACGGAACATATAAAATCATGTCCTGGATTCTTTTTTAATAAAGAACATAGTTTTTGGAATGCCATTTCCCCCACCTTTCCTGGTGTGTTTTTTAAAGATGTATACACTATTTCCACAATTTTCATACT